CTAACACACCATTGTAAAGCAATTATACCCCAATAAAGATGTTAAAAAAAAAAAAAAAAAAAAAAAAAAAAAAAAAAAAATTTAAAAGATTAAAAATAAAAATAAAAAAGATAACCAACAAGGACTTACTGTATAGCACAGGGAATTCTGCTCAATGTTATGCAGCAGCCTGGATAGGAAGGGAGTTTGGGGGAGAATGGATACATGTATATGTATGGCTGAGTCACTTTGCTGTGCACCTGAAACTATCACATTGTTAATAGGCTATACTCCAATATAAAATAACAAGTTAAAAAAAATAGTGCTTACCTTATGGAGCTGTTGTAATGATTAAATAAATAAATACATGTAAAGCGTTGAGAACAGTGCCTCGCACATAATAAACACTATATAAATGTTGATCTTGTTATTGATGGGAAATTCTCCAAGGCATTACTACCATGTGATCTTTGTTGGTAGACAAAGTCTGACCTCACGGAACACATTTTCTGTTGGAATCTGCATAACTCTTATTCTCAAAGCACAAGCAAAGTTGTGAGGGATTTACCTTGCTTGTCTATTCTTACCTCTTCATTTAGTGCCCCTCCCTCTGCTTCCAGGCGCCCCACACCCTCAGGATTTTGTGCTCTGGCAAGACAAAGCCAGCACCCCACAAGCAGTAAGTACCCCAAGCTCTGGCCTTCACATAACCCAGCTTGCAAGTTCCTAAGAACTGGTCACTGTAGCCAGTATGAGAAATTGACTGATGCCAATGAAGTCATGACTGCTAATGACAATGGATTACACACAGGTATGTTTTAACCTTCCTGGCAATTTATTGCCAACATCCAAAGGAATGCTCTCAAATTGTAGAATTTAATTGACTGAGATTGGCCAATAGGGAAAAAACCCTTGGGTCATATGAGGCCCGTTTGGTGCCACCTCTCAAGTCTATAGTTTCCTCTACTGTCCCTTGAAAGAATTCTGGGCCATTACAGAAAGAGAACTTTTGCTCTTGTTGTGAATTCAAGGGGTTTTATGAGATTTGCAGGACTTTGGGTGAGACTAGAGAAATTCTTGGGCTAAATTAGGGGTTTCCAGGTGTGGGCAAGCTGCTGAATAGTAAGTATAAGGTAGTTCCAGGGCAGGTGCAGAAGAGTAACAATGAAATGGAGCTGGTCTGAGCCTAGGACA